AAATTAGAAAAATATATCCTGATAAATCTATGTAAAAAAAACCCAAAAAGACAAAACACCAACAGGCAGAGTAGTAGAGATAAAACAGGTGCTATAACCACAAACATGAGAAAGATTAAAAGAACTTTAAAACAATATATTCATCTCCTTTCAGGCACTGGTCATAATTAAACAGGGCAAGGATGAAGGGAATTTGGCATCTCTCCTCAGCCCTCCCTTAACCTTTACTTTGTGGCCTGGGGTCAGATTTGACACCTGTTGCCCTGGGGCTCCAGGGGGTTTACAGCTCCCTGGTCAGGGAGGAGGAAAGTGGCACTGCTTTTTCTCTTATCTGGAATTTAGCCCATAGCCTCAGTGCATTGATCTAGAATGACGATGTAACTGTGAGCATGGTCTTAAGCTGTCTGGGTCCAGGGTGCCAGAGACGTGTGGTCACCCAGTGGGCGAGGACATCTGGCCCTGCAGGGTAGGGACTTTTAGGCAAAGGCATTCCAAGGGAGTGTAGCAACCAGGGGAAAGAGGGAGTGGAGGAAAACAGGATCATCTGAAGTCGAAGACAAGGGGCTCACGGGACCCCGCCTCTCACCTGGCTCGCCATATGATCTCTGAGTTTGCTGGCCCTGTCTTAGAGACAACAGCAGAGGGCAGCAGGAGGCTGTAGCTGGCGGGGTACAAAGCCACTGAACCCAATAACCCGAGAACGGAGGCTGTGCCCACAGCCGTATTCCAAAATAAATCTGGCTGCTTCTCTCATTGATCCAGCTTGGAGCTGAGTCAAGCTCCAGAGAAGGGAGTTGGGTCACACTCATCTGGGGGGAGGACTTAGATTCAGTCATTCATTTGTTCATTCTTTTCTTTATTCAACAGTTATTGACTGTGCGTGTGGCTCCCAGTCCTTTTCTAGGCCCTGGGACCGCAGAGGTGAGTGATCGAATTTCCTAATAATCACAAGAGCAGCAAGAATGAACGCCTGCATGGCAGTCACTGCAGGCCAGTGCTAACCTCAGTGCCTTATTTGTATGGTTCATTTATCCCTCATGAAAGCCCTGTGGGGTGAGCACTATTATTATTCCAATTTTACCAAGAAGGCAACTAAAGCACGGAGAGTGTATGTGACTTGCCCAGGGTCACACAGCTACAATGTGGTAGAGCCAGGGTTTGAATCCCGGCAGTCTGGCTCTTCGTTGACTTTGCTACACTGACATAACTTAAACAAGTAAATGGTCAAGTTGATTTCAGGTGACTATAATTGCTAATAAGAAAATAAAATAGGGCATCATAATGGTGACTGGGGCTGGGTCAACCTTGATTCAGTGGTCAGATAAGGATTTTGGGGTCGGGGGTAGTGGTGACATACAATCCAAGACCTGGCAGGGGCGGAGGATCATATTAGCACCCAGACGGTCTCTGTTGAGCCCTAGCGGGTCCCAGCACACAACTCACAGCCATTTGCGGACCCTTGAGTCCATAACGAAGCACCCACACACCTTACCCAGAGCCCCTGGGACCACTCAGAGCCAATGGTCCTCAGTGAAGGGTGTGCAGAGAGCAGCTTGGACACAGGCTGGGGGCAGGGCAGAGGCTGAGGCCCCTAACAACAGGATGCTGGGAACTTCAAGCTCTGGGTCTGTTGGTTTTCCTACAGATGCTCACACACGCTCAAAAATACACGCTAATACCCCCAAGTCCAGGTACACACAATTCCCCACCCAGAGTCTCACCTGCCCAGGGCCTCGCCTTCTCTGACGCTCCCCAGGGCTGTTCCAGGCCCAGACCCACTCCCAGGGGTCACAAGAAGACCCTGGAAATGCATAGGGAAGGATTTCAGTCAGCACTGCTTTTACTAGTGACATCGATCAGCTGACAGGAGATTATTTCAGGTCTGACAGTATAGAGTGAAGCACTATTTATATGCGATGATGGATGTTCCCTAGATTTGTTGTGATAATCATTTCATGATGTATGTAAGTCAAATCATCAGGCTGTATGCCTTAGACTTATACAGTGCTATATGTCAGTTATAGCTCAACAAAAATGGAAGAAAAAGTGTACAGAGGGAAGCAGGACGCCCTTCACCTCATGAAGGGTCTACAAGGAAAGGAGAAGCCTGGCTTCCTGGCTCTAGGCCCTCCTGCAAAAGTGAGAGGGAGGCAGAAAGCAGCTACGGTGACTATATTTCTTAGGGCAGTCGTTTCCCAAACTGACAAAAAACCCGGGTCACCTCGGGGCCTCGCGACCGTAACAGATTTCTGAGATTTTGATTCACTGGGTGCAGAGTGGAGCTGAGAGCCTATGACTTTGGCTAGCATTCCAGGCAGTTCTGCGGGTCGCTGCTCTGAGAGCTGCATGAGGTGGCATAAGCGCTGTGCTTGCCAGGACAGGGCAGGCTGGATTTGGGGTCGGTGGCGGCTGGCCCAGCCCAAAGCGTTTGTTAGGCTAATAAATGGTTACTTGCATTTCACCGCTTTTGAGCATGACACTTGTATTTGCTTGGACAAACCACGGGTCCATAGTTAGAGATACTGTCCTCCTCCCCGCACAGGTTGCCACCAGGGCTAAGGGCACCCAGTCCAGGTGGAGCCCAGCCCTGAGATCCTCCTCGTTTCCCAGCACCCCACCAGCCACTTAGGGTTAGGAGGACAACATCAATTTTCAAAGTCTACTTCCCGGCATCTCCAGCCCACACTCCATGATAATGTTCAATCCCTTCCTGGTTAATGAGAAAAGAAAAGAAAAAAAAAAAAATCCCTGATTCCTGGCAGGTTCTAAAGCATAGTTCAGTTACGCAATAATGAGCAAACAACCTTGACAGCAATGAGCAAACTGTGAACCCTGGTTCCCGCCCACCTCTGACAGCCAGAGAAGGGAGGCAGGCTGGTCCTGGGCAGGAAGGGGATTTGAGGAGTGTGAATGCTAGGCCTTCAGCTGGTACCCCAAGCCCCTGTCCTCTGGCTTGGGCATGGCTAAAAAGTGAGAACAGTAGAGCTGGAAGGCTCCAAAGAAAGACTGTCCTGTGGGAACAAGGCCTTGCCATACCAGGATCCAGAATCCAGGCCAGAGCCCGGGCCTTGTATGTTGCGAGTTTTGGTAGTTATTTTCACTCTAGTACAGGAAGTAAATTGGAATCACATTGGCTGTATCTATATACCTTCATGGGAGACTGTTGACTTATAGACATAATTTAAACTCAAAGTCCCCATCTCAAGAGCAGGGTGTGTTTGCCATTCTAACTCACTCAGACTGACTTTCTATGGAACTGAGAAATTGGTGATAAGTGTTCAGGGCACAATGAGTATGGAAAAAATTGGCAGGTAACAAAAACGGAAGACAGTTCTCGGATCCTGCAGCTTTGCCCCTGAAAGGGCCCTGCAGGTCTGCATCTGATCATTGATTCATCCAGCTTTAAAAGGGAGAAGCCATTACTGACCAATTTACAGATAGGGAAACTGAGGCCCAGGGAGCCAGCATGCCATGGCGAAGACTCCTATTTCACGAGAACAAACAACGGGGCTCAAGAAGTTGCTCAGAGTCCTGAAGTCCCAAGGGGAATGTGCTGCCCGAGGCCCCTGAGGTCTGTCCTTGGAGCACCTGGCTTCATTAGGTCCCCTGTGCAAGAGATGTCAATCATCATATGTCCCTTAGTAAAGGAAAACAGCCTGCCCTCAGCCCTTGAGAGAGTGAAAGAGATGGTCTGGACCGTATTCTTGAATCCATAATTTCCCTCTTGTTTTAGGTCTTGGGAAGCCTGGATGAACTGTAGTTTCTATCCTTGGACTCTCATGAGAATCCATTTTTAGGTTAACTCCACCCTCTCTTGAGCTGATTTGCCCACTGCTTGCTGATAAGAATTGGGAAGTAAATACAGGGAGGTTGTTGCCTCAATCCTAGACTGAGGGAAGAATGCTGGCCAGGGGATACATTTAGAGAGAGGAGATCTGAAAAGACGATCAGGTGCTAGATCAGGGGAAGAACCAGCTCCACATGTCCAAGAGCCTGGGGAGAAAGCTTCAGGTCCACTGGGGATGACTTAAGGGTAGGGGAGCAGGGTCAGGTCTTGGGTGGCATAGAAAGCTCTCAGAGTAGGAATGTGAGGCTCTAGTGATTGAGGGATGAAGGGGGAAGGGAGCACCATGGAAGGAACTAGAAGGAGAAGACTGAAAGGGAAATGGAAGAATTTGAGCTCATCCACAGATTTTTATTGCATTTCCCTGACTGAGGGGGCACTCATTACATGCTGGGAAACAATTCCTGTGAAGCACATGACTGCGTCTTGTACACTGACCTTTATACACAGTATAAACAAAGGAGACAATCATCTCAGGGTAGACATGGTCCCCGCCCCCCCTTACATAAAATAGAAAGAATTATATAATGGTTACCTGTCCATTTTCTCATTTTTGTCTTGGCAATGAGGAAATTCAGGTGCAACTTTCATGCTTGATTATGATAATTCTCTTGTTCTGGGTTGTATTACAGGTATCTTCTTTCCTTCTAAAAACTTTCTGGTCTTTCCTTTTTCTATTTGCCATAACCTACGTTACCTAGGTTTCATGTGTGCCTCTAAATTTTAGGCAGTTTCCCATTCCTTTGGCAAGCAGTCTGGATTTGGAGCGCAAATAGTGAATTGTTCTGCTGTACATCACAAAAGTACCCTTCTCACTGCCCCCAAGTGCATGCCTGAAGAAGAGCTTCACGAGGTTGAAAATTCAGTGATGTGACAGTCTAAGTGGGCCAGAGGCTGAGGACACAGGTACTGTCTTCCTCCCCCTGTCAGCCCCAATGTCTTCAGCACACCCCACCCCTACCCCGACAGCCTCACAGAAGAAGCACACCTCAGAGAGAACTCTACCCTATAATATTCAATGTGCAGTATCCCACCCACTCGTCCATTTGGTAATTCTTTAGTGCACCCATGCAACAAACACTCATCAAGCACTTACCAAGTGTGAGGCGCTCCCTCTGGTAGTTCGGATACAAAGAAAAATAAAATGGAAAACTAATTTAGCAAAGATATTTCATTAAGTTAAACTGGCCCTTAGCCCATTCATGAAATATTTTCAATCTCATTTTGTGATTGGCATACAGCTGGAAGCGGAATTCACTCTCTTCCCACAGTTTGCTGCCTGGGCTCCATAGAATCCCAGCTCCGTCCACCCTGAGATTTCTCAAGAACATCCATGGTCATGAGCTTGACTGTGGGCCAAGATGGTGTCAGAACTCTGCTCAGAGGGGAGGTTTTATTTGCTGACTGGATGGTGCTGCATCATTTGCCCCCCAGTGTGTGAAATGCACCTTTAGGGAGATCTTCCCTCTTGTCTCTACAAATAATGGACCCATTGACCTATAATGGGATGAGGATGTCACAGAAGAAAGGGGATGTTGAACATGGAGGCATTAAGACCAATGATGCCCTGTAAGGAAGGACCCAGCGTGCCTGACCACTTGCCTCCTCCCGCGATACTGGCATAGGCCACAATATCAAAAGAGTCTCCTAAAAGCATACGGGAAGGGAAGGGTGCCCTTTGTTCTCAAGATCACCCTAGTGACTATTGGGAGGCCACAGCCACTTGGGCAAGTGAGGGGATTCCTAGGACTATTCGCTGTCACCCATGTAGGACACTGCCAAGTGTCACAGTTTCAGTGTATAGCTCATGAACAGCTAAAAAACAACACTCATGTCGTAGACAGGGCTGGGCTAGCCATGGGAAGGAGACTCTGGCACCAGGTAATGGCAACTTGGAAAAGTGGGAATTGGATCTCTTGGAAGCTGAGACACTGCCTGCTCGGACACAGATGTGGACCTCCATTGATCCATCTGCTGGGCTGCAGTGTCCTCACTAAAAAAGGAGAGGGTTTGAATGTGCTTTTTCTGAGATTGACTCTGACCCAATGCTGTGCTCTTTGGCAGGACAGAAGGTGTCCTTTGCCATGGACTGGACTGGACCAGAAACCCTCATGCCCCACTGTCAGTCTCTTTTCACTTCATCCCCCCACAGTCAAATATGTCCCCTTGCTTTTCTCCCATCCCCATGAAGGAATGAATCAACACTGGACATGGGGAAACTGGCACTGAATTCTCTTTCAGAGCAGCAGGGACCTCAGCAGGGAGCCAAGGAGGGGTCGGAGGAACCTGCCTCTTCAGGCTGGGAATTCACAGATGGCCAAGAAGGAGGAGGAGCAGGAGATGTCATTCCAGAGCCCATCTCTTAGCAGGAGGACACAGTCCTCCCCTGAGCCCTGGTTGTTAGGCTCATTCTTCTTCCAGTTGCTGTAGCCCATCCTCCCTCCTGTTACGTACATAAACTGGCCTTCGGTCACCTCATCTGTGATGCCCAGGAAAGCAATGTCAGGGGCCATGTCCTGGATGGCTTTGTTCTCCTCAGCATTCTTGGGGGTGGCCACGGTGGCCCCAAGCTCAGCACACAGAGCCTTCACTTTGGAAAAAGGCATCTTTTCACCATTGGTCACATAGAGCATCTTTCCAGACTTTTTACCCAAGGAGAAGCTTTGCACTGAAATCACAAAATGTAGGTGAGGTTGACTTGGCTTCAAGCCCAGCCTGGGACAGCAGATGAAAAAGCCCTTCTCTGGGAACTTAGGAGTCTGGGGTTGAGCCCCATTCTCTACCACCTCTGGTGAGATCCTATTAAGAAGGTGGAAGGCAAGTCCCTGGCAGCAAGCCGGGGCTCTCCTGACATATCCCATCCTTAGGACAAATATCTGTTAAAAACTGTCCCAGTACAGGTGGACCTAGGGAAACATGCTTGAGCCCCACTGCCAGACATGGGCACCAGGATGAGAAAGAGGCATGGACCACCATCTGAGGCCCGTGGGTGCTAAGGAAGGAGCAAAGATTCCAGAGTCAGCAGACCTCCACGCCATCCTCCTTCCCACTTCCTAACTGTATGCTGTTGAATGAATTATCTATACTTCCTGGACCTATTTTTATCTCACCTGTACATAAAATGGGTGTAATGCCCACAAATAGGGATGGCAAGACGATTGAATAAAACCAAATTATGAGAAAATTCCAACCTAGTATATAATAAGTTGTCATAAGTGTAAGTTCTTTTCCACCGTCCCCCCAAAACCTAGAGCACTCTGGAGAAAAAAGTTAGAGTCAAGAACACATTGGGGACAGAAAAAAAGCTTACACTTTTTGACGTAATCCAGTTGTGATTTCAGGCTCCTTATCTGTCCCTCTAAGTCAGCCAGCTTAGCCTCGGCAACTATAAAGCAATAGGGAGAGGATATTTATTTAGAAGAAGACCCTCAATTGGAGAGCAGAGTATTTTGAAAAAAAAAAAATTAGCTTACTGAAAAGTATTCGTATTCCAGAAAAATAAGAAAACAAAAAGAAGCAAAAGGGAAAAAAACTGTATTCCTGCCTTCTCAGATCTACTTAGTAACTATTGTAAACTATAACTCTGGAAATAATAATACCATAAACTATAGCTCTGGATCCTTTTCTTCATATACTGCTTAAATATTGCAATATTATAATTATTTATAAGAAAAGGCCCAGCTAATTTTTCTCCTTTTTGAAAATTTTTCTTAATCATATTTTCATTTCCTATTCTAGGCAAACTGTTTAATACGTTTATTATTCTGATAGGCCAGTGGACAAACATAAGTAAGAGGTCATCCTTTTGGTTTTGTTGTTACTGAATTTATTTTACTCTGAACTAAGTTGCTGTGATGTCCCCCATTATCCAGGGGTCCTATGAGGCCAACCCTTTTCATGCCACTCTTGTGACAACAGACATAATCCAACAGCAGAGAGGACCAGTTTCCTCCCTTGCAGCCTGGAACCACATGCTGGACTGTTGCAGCTGAAGAAGGGCCAGGGCACATGTCCTACAGAGATGTGCTGAGGGTGAGGCAGGCAGGGTTCGGAAGTCTATACCCGGGCACCAGTGGGAATCCCCTTGGGCCCCAAGGAACTGAGAGGAATGAGGGCGCTGGGTCAGGAAGCAGAGCTGAGCATCTTCCAGTGGGGCAGCAGGAGACGGGGCACCTCCCACCTGGCCCTGGAGTTCCCAGGTCCTGGGTCCCCTCAGCCCACATCACTTGCTGGGGTGAGCTCCTTACCCGAACTGTCTCCACGATCTCCTTTGTGGCCCTTTTGTCCTGGAAGCCCAGGATTCCCTATATTTCCTTGAGGCCCCATTTTCCCTGGAGGGCCCTGCAAGCCTCTGAGCCCTGGCCCTGTTGGAAGAGGAAGGAAATGTGACCCAGTGTCTGTCGCTCATTCTCTTTCTCCAAAAGCTCAATATTTGATTGACCCCAAGAAACCACCACTCAGCTAGTAGTGATCCAAAGAAGAAAGATCCTCCTGCGTCTCAGGGGATGGCCTGTCCTAAGGGCCAGCTCCCTGAGCAGAAAAGACACCCCTTCTCTAAGGACAACCACACATCACCAATTCCTGGGTGGCAATGAGGGATCCTGGAGAGTCAGAGAAGCGTCTTTATTTTGGAGAGAATGCCCTTTTACAGGAATTTTTCTGAGTGAATCATCACCTACCATAATGAAAGGTGAGCCTCCTCATGTCTCTGTGCTAGATCCCTTATAGAGAACACTCTCCCGTTGGGGTAAAAGATTTAAGAAGTCAGAGCGGCCTGTCCTATACCTGGTTCTCCCTTTTCTCCCTTGGGTCCATCTCGCCCATCTCTGCCTGGGGTGCCGTTGGTGACCGGGATGCCACAGGTCACCACTGGACAGGTCTTCTGGGCGTCCTCACAGGCTTTTGTTTCTGAGCAGGATGCTGTCGCCACACACAGAAGGAGGACAGGAAGTGACAAAAACGGGAACATGGTCCTTACCTTAGAGTGGAGAAAGTCAAAGAAAATAATTCCATCTCATTTGATTTGCTACCATCTCTGATGTGTTGGACCCTGTGCTCAGGGCAGCTGACACAGAGGGGGATATCACAACTCTTGGCCCTGAGTTACTCCCAGGCTACTAGGAAAACTACTACTAGCGCAAGCAAAATGTCTTAGAGTTAGATCAGCGCTAAAACAAATATAGATGCAAGAGTAATATCACAGGGGCCCACTTTCCCTGGGGCTCTCATGCCCTGCGGGCCCAAGGCTTCGTTGGTTAGGCAGCCCTAAGCACGAAAGCCCACAGGGTCTACAAATGACACACAAGCCCTGTTCCCGATGGCCCAGCAAAGAGAGTTCATTTCTTGCATGACCTTTGGCTGCTCTCTTCTCAACTCCCTTTCTTGAGAGCCTAAGTAGCCTAAATTTTCCTCTTCTTCTCCTTCCTATGGACGCTAAAGGTAGACTCAAACTATAGCATGTGACCCATTGCTTGGCGGGACCTGTTTTACAACATCCGTTGTCTCATGTCACATAAAAATCTGTTTTACACCACAGGGCCCCAACCACCCCCAGAATCACAGCTGTTTCCCCAACAACCTGTCAATCATCCTGTTTAATAAAGTCTCTACTTTGTGACAGGCACTTGCTGGGACTCGGGACCCAGAGTACCCTGAGGTATGGAAACTTATTCTGACCCTGAGAATGGAACATTCTTTGGTCATTGATCCTGGCCAGTTGCCACTTAGATTTACCTCCTTCCCTTGGTTTGAGATTTTCCACTGAGAGGCCATTTTTCCAGCCAGAACCCAGGCTCCTAAAATTTCTGTTCACCCTGGGCCCAGCAGGGTCAGCTCATACTCCTCCTGGCAGGATCCTCTGCATGCTTCCGAGACGCTTCTCCGGCTCTGTGCCCCCATCCAGCCATCAGATTCCCATCCAGCCTTTGCTTGAGCTGGTCCCCTTCCAGGAAGCCTCACAGCCCAGCCCCCATGGGCCTATGCCCCTGCTCCTCTCTGACCTCTAATTCCAACGTCCCTGCCTTTGCTGCATAACTACTGCATCTGTCCTTGGCCACCCTGGCCTGTCAGCTCCCTTAACCCTTCCTTCCCTCCAGGACTCAGTGAGAAGTAGGAAGTTGGGAGGGAATTTTCTTTCTTCCCTTCTTTCTTTTTTTTTTAGGATTTTTAATTTTTAAATTTATTTATGTTCTCTCTCTTTTTTGTTGTTTTTTGTTTGTTTGTTTGTTTTGTTTTGGCTGCACTGTGTGGCATGTGGGATCCCAGTTCTCTGACCAGGGATGGAACCCGTGCCCTCTGCCGTGGAAGCACGGATTCTTAACCACTGGACTGCCAGGGAAGTCCCGGAAGGGAATTTTCTTGATCACATCTTCCCCACCTTCCCTCTCTCTTAAGCTCCCCTGATTATGTGGGAGGCCAAAGCCAGAGCTAAACATGTTGCTGGCATACACGCCCCACTTCCATTCTTCTGTTTGGCTGAAAAGACCACCTTGAGTTTGCAGATGGTAACCTGGATCCAGGAAGGGCACAAGGCCCCAGGTCAGAGAGGCAGAGGCCCTCAGGGGGCCTGACAACCCCACCACAGCCCCTGCCTGGAACTCACCAGGATCAAGCCAAGTGGCCAGACTCTGGGCCGAGGCCTCCTCTTCTGTCCTCAGAAATGACTTACTAGGGGCCTCCTCAGAGCACAGAGGCTATGGCAGGGAAGCTGGTCCTCCTGCCTAGGCCTCTGGAAGATGCCTCAGCAATGTCAGCCCCAATTAGTCTGGTGACCAGGGACAGTGCTGGACTGGCCTTCAACCCCAGATTAATAAACAACCATCCTTAGAACCGCCGTATCCTGGGCAGTTCTCCAGGGCTGCTGGTGGGGTCTCCAGCTTAGCACTGGGCAGCTCTCTACTGCAACAGCCCAGACTCCTCCCACTGCTCCCTCCCATGCATCTGTCTCTATAGCTCTGCTATCTGATCCTCTGGAATCACAGATTCTCAGATCATAGATCAGAATCCCAGAGGACAGTTCTTTCCAAATATTTGTCTCTGGAAGGGACGTGCATAGACATCCTACCAAACACGTGCTCCTGCAGACACACATGTACAGGCGTACACCTGTGTATCAGTTGTTCTGCCTAGTTCCCCCTTCCATTCATATTTAATTTACTAGGAGCAGGAGGGAAGGGGTTAAACACCTACAACACTGAGTCACCTCATTCCTCCCTTGTCATTCAGAACATTCGTCAGCTGCCCTGTCTGGGCGCGTTGCAGCGCTAGGCACAAGGAAAGGAAGTGTTTGTAGACAACTCAAATTCAAGGCTGAACATGGGCATTTGCACTAGCTCTTCCAGCCTAGGACACTTCTCTCCATCTTTGCATAATTGCTTGTTGTCGTTCAGATTTCATCTTAAATATTATTGCTGGAGAAAGGGCTTTCCCTAACCATTCTATCACAAAATTATAATTCTCTGTTTTAGTTATCTGCTTATAATTCTTCTCTATGTAAAATTGTCTTATTTCTTTGGTTGCATATTTATTGACCATCCCACTCCTTTAGAACAGGAACTTCATGAAAACAGGCATCTTGCTTCCCCACCTCTAAGAGGGCCTGGAAACGGAATCAACGCTCAAACGTTTGTGGAACAAAGGAATCCTCCGGCATCGTGTCCTCAAAGTGGCCCTCTTGACTTGCCTCCAGCTAGAGCTAACATCTGTGCCCACTCTCCCAGTGCTTTTAATACTTTTCTAGGGCAGGAGCTGCATTTGATTCCCCTCCTTGTCTCCAGGGTGTAACTCAGGGCTGGGCACGTGGGGAGGATCCACTGAGAGAGTAAGAAGGGAAGCAGAGACCCTGAGCAGGGCAGACACCAGATCAGTCTGCGGCTCCTCCACGCCTGGGTTTCCAGGAGTGTCTGGTTCTTATCTCCAGAGCCTGATCAAGTGGCCTTTTTCAAGTCACTGATATAACTTTTGATTCCTGCCTTCCCCCAGACTTACACCCACTCTTTGAAACACTTAGTCTCACCAAACAACTCTAGAGGTTTGCTTTTTCCCTGTGGTGGAGGAGGGGTAGACTCTGCCTTGTGATTGGTGCTTTGGTCCCTCAGGAGTCATCGGCCCTTGTGTACTCAAGTCACTGTGCCCTGTTCAGCAAGCCTCCCAGGTTCCTGTGATTTATCAAGGAGGCTGCCAGGCACTGAGAGGGGCCCATTGTAAAGAAGACCCCCCTCAGGGGCTGTGTTTCCTGATGCCATTGACACAACTCCGAAGGGCGCATAGGCTCAGAGGACAAAGAACTCTCAAACCCTACGGCAAATGAGCAGACTCCCCAGAAAGGTGGAAATCTGAAGCTGAGAGATTTACATACAACCAGGACCCTATATGTCCTACAGACTTAGAGGAAAGATGGCTTTAGAAGGAGGGGAGAGGATAGAACGGGAGGAGGGAGGGATATGCACTGCGAGCAAAGGGACAATAAGAAATACTTGACCCTGGTGGGAAAAAGGCCCCCCTCGAGGATGCATATCCATTGAGTCTGTCCTGTCATAGATCTGGGGTTTGAATTTATGCTTATTAGTATTATTTTGCTATTATTATTATTATGAAAAATTTCCCTTCATGCCAAGATGAAAAATTGTTTTTCAAGTGTCCCAGCTCATCACAATCTAGTGTAGCATGGGGACGTAAAAGCAATGGAGGACCTTACCCTTAACCCAGGCACCTCAGGATTTTCTCAGATGGAGATCAGGTAAATTTGAATTCACCTTATGAAAACTACTGAACACAGTAAAAAATAAGTAGAGTGAAATCTGACTGACACAAGACTCAAAACTAGGCCTCGGAATGCTGTCAACTCTAGACAACAGATAAATTGATACTTTTAAAAAGACAGTATAGGGCTTCCCTGGTGGCTCAGTGGTTAAGAATCTGCCTGCCAATGCAGGGGACGGGGGTTCGATCCCTGACCCAGGAAGATCCCACATGCAGCAGAACAACTAAGCCCGTGCACCACAACTACCTGCGCTGTAGAGCCCATGAGCCACAAGTACTGAAGCCCGCGCACCACAGCTACTGAATCCCGTGTGCCTAGAGCCTGTGCTCTGCAACAAGAGAAGCCACGACGATGAGAAACCTGCGCACCACAAGGAAGAGTAGCCCCCACTCGCCGCAACTAGAGAAAGCCCGCTCAAAGCAACGAAGACCAAACACAGCCAAAAATAAATAAATAAATTTAATTTTAAAAAAGACAGTATAAATAAGGAATAAAGAAGGAATAATAAATAAATAAGGAATAAATAAAAATTAAACAGTGAAACTCAAACTAGAATAAGGAAATAACTATAGAGCTATTAATAAAATTTCAGAAACGCTCGTTCTTTGCAAAAATAAACAAATTTGGCAAACATAACCCTGGTGGTTTGAATTACTCTCCTGATTTGCACATTTTCTTTTCGTAGAAATATATATCCATGCCCTTTGCCATGGTACTTTGCAATGCCTCCCACTGGAGTATGTGGAGTAAACACCCCAAGCCCTTTGATATTTGGCTTGGCCATGTGACCGTGAGCGGACACTAAGGGAGCAGCAGCTTTAAATGTGGGAAGAATATGTCCCCAGTAGCCACTAATATCAGAATAATGAAATGATGTGGAGCGAACAGGAACTCCCCTGAAAGCTTGAAGTAAAAAAAGAGCTATTAAAGTCCAGCCATGCATCCATGGTTAATAGCACGGTCCCTGGAATCTGACTTCCTGTATTCATAGCCCACTTCTGCCATGAACTGGCTGCATGATCTTTGGAAAATCACTTTAATCGCTACGTGCCTCAATATTCTTATCTGTAAATCGGGCATAATAATAACGTCTACATAAGAGGGTTAATGAGGATTATATGAGTTAATGGAAGTATAATACCTGGCACGTGGTAAGTGTGATGAGAGTATCAGCCATTAGACCAAGTAGGGTATCCCAGGAATGCAAAGATGGTTCAACATCAAAACATAGTCCAGTTAACTCACTAATTTAATATATAACAAGTTTAAGAATCTTAATGCAGATATGTACAATCTTGAGGCTTGAAGCTCACCCTTTTCTCGAAACTAATACATGCTCTCAAAATTCTTCATACCTATTCTTCCCTTGGAATACAAACTTTCTAGGGTTGAGTTAAAATATAGTCCAAATGATTATTGTCCCTTAGTTTTGTCACTAAAATCTGTTTTATCTCTGATTCATCACCACCCTGGCCATAGAGTAGTGGCTTCTTGAAGTGAAGGGTGGACAGTGCCTCCTCTCTTATTTTTTTTTTTGCATGTGTGGTTGGTAGAGAGAGTGATGGTGCCCAGGGTGGCAATACCTGCTCACAGGAGGCACCATATATCAGTGGGAACACTGCTGCTTCTCAGCCCATCCTAACCGGTTGTTGGGTCCCTCGGTATGACTGATTATAAATGACAGCTCCTCCCAGGAGCTGGTCCTTCAGATAAGGGGCTCTGTAAAAGCCTCCAGCTGCCTGCTCCCTACCCTCAACATGACATCAGTGAACATTTCACTTCATAGTCTCTTGCTCTTCAAGTCCCTGTGTTCCAAGAAGCAATCTGCTCATGAGTAGGGCTTAAACTCTGGCTAGCTTCCATGACATCGACATGGGCAGCCCCTGGGAAATTCCATCCAAGTGGTGGAAATCCACATTGCCCCAGAACACACCTGCTAACAGTTCTATTCTCCCCCTTCTTCATCTCCCCATGCCTCAGCAAGATCAGGCCCTCTGCTGGTTCAGCTCTTCAGCAATTTTAGAACAGGAGATTCCTGCCTTAGGTGACTTAATGAGGGAAGGAAGGCAAAGTAATTCGGGCATCCCTATTTGCAAAGATTAGGAGGAGGATAGGACAGTCCCCTCCCCCATGCCACAGGGAGAGGAGAGGAAGGGATAAATTCCATTGTGAGAGTACACATGTCACCCATGGAAGGTCAGCTTGCTTTCGCCTCTTTAGTCTTCCTTATACTGACCAACAGAATGCGAATTACTAAACCACTCACGTTGAATGGCCCTCACCTTGCAGGTTCCATGGTGGGGTCCCTGGAACCCCCTGGACTCATTAAAAGATGACCCTTTTACTCTCACCTGTGGGCTCTAGATGCCAGTACCCAGGAACAAGAAATGACTCAACTCACACTTGACACCCTTTTGATGTTAACAGCTTAAAGGAAATGCCAAAGAAATCATCCGATAAAGCTCAGTACACATTCATGATGAAAATGAATCTCAGCAAACTATGAAAAAGAGGGAACTTTGCCGTGATAAAAGGCATCAGAAACCTAAAACAAGCAACTCCATGCTGAAATACTGGAAATGTTCTCATTATACATTCAATGCGCCCCTAAAGATAACATTTATCACTGAGTGTCTTCAACAATATATAGGGTCTCCTGGCCCCTATAAAAAGATAAGAATGCTATATAAGAAATATAAATATCATGAGGGACAGGCAAAATTTCTGTCATTTGTAAATATAAGCATATATTTATAAAATGTGAGAATCAATTATTAGAAATATTAGGGGGAAAGTGAGAATCCAAAATGGTTGGATATACAATCAACCAAAAATAAATCAGTAGTTTTCTTATAAACCAGCAATAATTAATTTAAAATGTGATAAAAATAATATAATAACAATTGCAAATAACACCATAAAGGGAGTAAAAATAAACCTAACAAGAAATGAGAAGACGATTTTCAGAGACTTAGACTGTTCCTCTGTAAAATACGGGAAATATGTTTCTCCGTACTTTTTTGAATTTTGGGGAAGGCTCAATAATTTGTGTGCTGGGCCCTAAGATCATGTGGTAGGGTGACCAGATTAAAAATTGACATTCATGAAAGAATGAGAAATATTTCTGCTCATTCCCATCTGGTTTTGTGGATTGTGATCCAGAACTTCCTCTTGTCCCGAAAAAGAAGTATATGCAGTGAGGGAGGGCATTATGTGAAGGTGGGAGAAGTGGGGACCTTTCTGGGGATGGGACACATATATGGTCACCTCCTCAAGCAAGTAGAGACATGATCCAATTCCCACACAGCCTTGGGACATGGGGGCCATGGTCCCTTTCCATGCAGTCCTGAGACTGAGGTGGCTCACAGAGCCCTGAATGCCACCACTGTTGGGCTATGGCAAACATCCAGGGGGCTGAGCGGGGAACGGAAGGCATGATATCACCACCCTCAAATGGAACATGTAGACTTAGATCAGGAGCTATCTTGATGCCCGCCATCAACACTAATGCCCATCTGCTCCTCCAGACGTTTCTGTAACTCCCCATCTGCCCATACAACCTGAGGATGGGAGCAGGTTGCCCCTTCCACCCAACAAAGAAAGCTTAACCTGAGATTGAACTTTCCACTTTTCAGATAAGTGGGGCCTCAGAGCCAGAGTTAACTTGATTTCTAAAATCACAGAAATATTTCTTGAAACCAAAGCAATGGAAACTCATGTTAACATATTCATGATTTATTGCACTTGAATCATCTCTGTTCAGTGAGAGGATGGGGTGGTGATGAGCATAAGCTTCAGGTTCAGGTAGATGGGTTTGAAAACAGCCTCTGTCACTTGCTCCGTGTAACAAAACTCAAAACATTTAACTTAAGTTTCAGTGTTCTTGTATAAAAAATGGGGAAAATAATGCTCATTCCATGGCACTGTGTGAAGATTAAATCATAGTTTATAAGATGTCTTAGAAGTGCTTGTCAAGGTGCTTGGTATATAGTATATGCTCAATAAACACCTCACTGAGGTCTGAAGTGGTGGGGATGTGTTCCTCAGCAGGAAGTTACTTGGGTAATGTCTGAGGTGGGGGTGAGATCTTCCCTAGAGGCATAGGCTGGCTGCTTTTAGGTCAGGGAGTTGAGTTGGTACCCCAAGAGTCAAGGGAGTGGATAATACATGCCAATCACTAGGGATGGGTTGGCCTCCACCATGCTGGGGCACCACCCGGCCCTCTGACCTCATGGAGAGCCTGAGCAGATGTGCCCCACAGACCTCAGGCTGCCAGATAATCCCGAATGTATCCTTAGCTCCACACATTTGGAATTTCCCAGAAGTCCACCCATCTATCATTACGCTTGCGCAGCACTGCTAAATCTTGATAAGGCTGGGCGGGCAGTGGGCTGCAAAGAAAGAGTAGAGGGGCCAGGAAGCAGGCACCCTGTGTGTGCTTTTGGAGGGAACCTCCATCCCAGGACTTCACTGTTGCCATCTATAAATGAAGGAGTTGGACAAGAAGAGGAAGAAAGAAGCCTCCCTCTCTTGCCAAAGGGCAGAGTTAGAGTGGCTGTCTAGAGCGCAAAGCTGAGAGGGGGCTCCGGGGGGGAGTCACACTGATTAGTAATCAAGGGCGAGGAGTCAGGGCCCACCGGGGAGTGCCGTGGCTAAGATACCTCCGACTCTTATAGCTACAAAGGTGTTACAGCACCTCATAGACCAGGTGGATTCCCCAGGACGTGGGCTGAAAGGCAAGGCAGGACCCTCTCCATCCTGTGGCCTTGGTGCCTGCTCAAAACTCACAGATGGCCAGTCGGGACTGCAGGCAGTTCTTGTCATTCCACTGGCCATCTGTGTACATCTCCACACACTTCTCTTTGCCCCGCCCCCCGGGCTCCCCTGGGTACCAGTTAGTGTAACTCGCAGGGGTTCCATCCAGGTAGTGGAAGTCTCCAGCAGTGGGACCCTCAGCCAGGCCCAGGTAAGCATAAGTACTGTGCTTTTTCACGATGCTTGCAATGGCCTCATTCTCCTCTAGACTCCTTGGGGCAGCAATGCGTCCACCTGCTCTGGCACACAACTCTCTAATGGCATCAAAATTGACCGACTGCCCATTGGTGGAGAAGACCTTCTCTCCCACTGCCAGCATGGACCCCTGCAGACTGAGGACTGACAGCAGAGGAATCCGGGTCAGGCCACAGGCCTCTTTGTTTCCAAGTCCTTTTCCTTCCCTTTATGCTCTCTGCCTTTATGCGCTTGGCAATCTCTTCACCTCTTCCTCTCTCTCCTTCTTCCCTCCCTCTTCCAATCCTAGTCTTTCTGGATTCCCCTCCATGCTCCCATCATTTAATTATCCATTCACCCATTTAACAATTACTTATTGACCGTCTATTATGTGCCTGAAGCTGTGCAATTTCCTGGGATTCAATAGAAAGCAGTATAGCCAGGAACATTGCTTCCCCAGGACATAGGGAGATAATCCATATCTACCTCGGTCTCCTCTGAGCCGTTCAAGAACATCTGAACAAGGACCTCCATGTCCACACTTGTTTGTCAAGTCTCTAGATTCTGGAGTCTGATGCTGAGGACGAGGAGAACTTATGGGAACCCCCTACCCTCTAAGGCCCCAAGGGATCCCCTTACCACGCATCGTCTTCAGGATTTGATGGCTGATCTCAAGGAGTGTGCTCTGGAGCTCCTCGTCTAGATAAGCTGGAAGCCCTGTAGAGAGATCCCCAACAAGAAGAGGGGCAGGCCAACAAAAACCCTCACTTGTGCCAAGCAGGTGAGAGGCCAGCTGCAAGCCTGCCATTCTGCCCTTCACTTGTCTAGAGCCGCTGCCCAGGCCCCAGGTCATAAGGGTCCCCGAGGTTGGAGTGTGTTTCCTACTCCCTACACACTTGTCCTTTAATGCAGCCTCGCACTTGCTCAGCCCCCTCTCTGCTCTTCTTTCCTGCCACATCCTTTCATGGCTCTGTCTGTCCACTTCTGTAGGGTTTTCTAGTTTCTGGGCAGGGCTCCCTTCCCCACCTTCCAACCACAAGAGCAAATGTGGTTCTCTCTGACTCTCCTGATGGACCTTGATTACTGCTCAGAGCTCCAGAGGTGCCCTGGACATGCGGGGTTCCCAGTGATATCATGTCTGGTCCTTGGTCCACATAACCCCCTGCGCCCTCAGAATTCCCCTATGCCTCAGCACTAGGAAGTGCCTCCCCTCCTCGCAGTGCTGTCCCATTTCCCACACCTGACGCCCTATGTCTCCCCATCAGCTGTTGTGATGCGTGGAACACTTCCAATACCCACCAGTCCCTGCGCTGTGGCCCACGACCCAGACCCCTCTGATTTCTCAACCTCATATTCTCTTATCTAGGTTGAAACATATACCCTTTGGGGACTTCCGTGGTTTTGTCTGCTCCCCTTCATCCCTCAAGTAACTGACCACATGGGCACGGTGTCCAGTTCCTTCTGTCCACTGGCCACATCCTGCTCACCTGGAGGACCCCTCTCACCAGGCTCTCCCTTTTCTCCACGCTCTCCAGTGAAGCCAGGGGCTCCAATCATCCCATCACGCCCAGGGGGGCCTGGCATTCCTCCAGGGGGGCCCATGGGGCCTGCAGAGAGAGGGGGACAAGGATGTATGCTATCTATCATCCACAGTGGGTTGGGGCTGACAGGACTGGACCTCCATTATCAGCCAGGCTGACTCACCTGTCACTCCACGGGCACCTTGAGTGTAGACCCTCCAGGGCTGCTCCAGTCTAAGGGTCCCCGGAAACTCCCACCATCCAGCTGACCCTTGAACCCAGCCCAGAACCCTGGACAGCAAGTCCCCCTGAAAACAGGTCACTGTCCCTCAGCTCCCACTCAGTACCTGGAGGTCCAGGGTCTCCTTTGATGCCATCTCTCCCATCTCTTCCTGGCAGGCCATGGGATCCAGGAGTACCAGGGACGCCACGGCTTCCTAGACAAACTTCCTTCATGTCGCACTCAAGGCCAGAAACCACCATCCAGATGAGGGTGAGGGTCAAAGAGCACAGCAGCATGGTGCCTGCTCCAGCGGCTCCTTCTGTAGAAGGGAAAGGCTGTGGCCCACCCGAAGCATTTGCCAAGGTCTCCCCTTGCCGTGCTTTGTCAAGATTCAGGCACATGATGGAGCCTGAGGGCCAGGGCAGGTACAGACAGGAGCTCTGGAAAGACCCATACTATCCTTGGAAACTCCCAGCATCATCTGGTACCTAGCATGGTCTCATGCCCCATCCCTCTGGCTGGAGGTGGAGTGGTACCTGGGCAGGTGAGGAGTTGTAAAGAGCTCTGGAGAGTCAGAGGACCTGGGTTCTAATGGAGTCTCTGTTCCTCGCTGTGTGACCATGGGGAACTCACTTCACCTCTCTTGGCTTCAGCTGAAACTTCTGTCCTGGAGGCAATCCTGGCCTGTCCCTCCCAGGCTGTTGGGGGGAAGGATGTGGTCAACATCCACTAGCTCCATCTGTCCCTCATCCTCTCAGCTACCCTCCTTTTGAGTTCTAAGGGATCATGATCCTGAGGATGAGCAGAGATGACCAGGGCCCAGGTCTTGGCCACCCCACGGTGGTCAGTGATAGGGAGTCCCCTCCTCCCTGCTTTCTCGGGATGCTTTCTCTTTGGCAGGCTGTTTCTCCCCCTGCCTCCACCCTGCAGGCCCTGCTGAATCCCTGGGGCCAATGGGCCCGGCCCAGGCTCACAGTGAAGTATGAGGATATTCACAAGCCCATCTTCCTGTACCCATAGTTAGGGTTCTGTGGAACAAGTCCCAGTGGTACCCAGGGAGGGCCCCTCCTTCCCTGCCTGACCCATAGTGAAGCCTGTGGCTGCTGGGCTGCTTCATGCTGCTGCAACCCTGGGAAAGACCCAGGGGATGGGGCTAAACTCACCCACACGAACAGAGCCTATGTGGCTCTCTGCCTCCAGATCTGCCTCCAGGTGGCGAGGTGGACAGCAACATTTATAATGATGTAGGCTACCAGGCTTCCTCTCCACCCCAGAGAGGGGCCTGCCACAAGGGCCTCTACTCCAGGACAGCCAGGCAGGAAGCTGCCATCTTGTTCACCCAGTACATTTCCCCACAGGGCACTCAAGCTGGAGGGCCACTTAGGAAACCCACTAAAGAGAAACTCCAGATCGGTAAGAAGGGAAAATTCCCATGGACCGGAGGCCACCTACTCTCCCTCCACCCAGTTTCCCCAAAGCAGTGAAGAACGAGAGCACTTATACGGGAACCGATGGAGGCACGTGGCAAAGGGAGCCCTCTCCCTCCTGGGCCTTGGCCTCCCGGTCCTGGCTAGTGACACGTTCACAGCCCCAGAATCACGATCCCCCAAAAGCCCACCAGCTGGAGAGAACATACCAGGGCTGGACTCTTTTCCCAGGGGAGCAAAGAGGCAGGTCAGTGACATACAGGGCTTCCTCCTGGGGCCATTCCAGCTCCAGAGCCTCTTTGGCTCTTGGAAGTGTCCATAGGGCTCCAGAGTGTGCAGAGGTCACGTCTGAAGCCAAAGGGTGGTCAGGGTGAGCTGGAACAAGCTGTCTGTCATGGGGCGTGGCCCCAGCTCTTGCTTATGGGGCCTGCAGCTGAGTTGATGGAGCATGGTTCACAGGTACAGGTGAACCCTTGGCGGGTTCCCCCCATCCTTCCGCCCCGGCAGGCTCAGAGGTGGGGAAGCAGGGCGGGGGCTGGAAGGTCACAGGGGGACAGCAGTTTCTGTCTTGGCCTTGGTGATGTCTGATGACCTGCAGTGGTGATTTCTTTAAGTAGTGGAATGACACGTGAAGCCTTAATTGATAAGATTCCCTCTTCAAGCCACTTGATGAGGAGGGAATCTCTAACGTAGGGATGGTAACGATGGGGAACAGAGACAGGAAGAAGTCGCCACGCTTACCTGTGAGTGGTCTGAAAAATCTTGAGATCCTCAGGGAGAGTGGGAGCTCAGCTAATGGAATCCCTTTCCCAGGAGCAGGGAGCCCGTCAGAGCCTCGCTGGAGCCCTGAGTGCTTTCAGCTGCCCTGCTGCCGCCTGTCACGTGCCCTGCGACTCTGTCAGGCACAGGATGGGGAGCCAGGGCCAGCGCAGGGTTGGGGCAACTGGAGAGCAGCTCCAGCTTAAGGACCACAACTCGGCCTGGAGGGAATGCGGTTCTGCAGGTGAAGGAATGGGAGCAGGGGTCCTCTTGGGCAGATTTTAAAGGGTCTGGGGGGAGGCAGCCTGGAGGTCCGGGCCATGGCTGGTGGGGAAGGGTGTGAACTAAGGAGTCAGACACACCTGAGTTGCACTTTGGAGCTGCCACTTGTTATCCCTGTGGCCTAGGTCAGGTTATATAACTTCCTGAGCCATGGTTTTCTGGGGTTCTTTTAAATTATTATTTTGAAGTAATAACAAACCTACAAGAAAGATGCAAGTGCACTACAAATTTTTTTCTGAACCTATGAGAGTAGGTTGCAAACATGATACTTCATCACCCTAGTATATTAGTTTATATTTCATATGAAGATGTTTTCCAATATAACCATCAAAATCAAGAAATGAACACTGGTTCAGATATTATTTTTATTTAAAAACATGAAAGAGTATCACGGGGTATTTTATTTAATCTTTTAAGTCACCTGTTTAACTTAAGTCACTCACTTGGCTTAATGCCAATATATTAAAGTATGTCATAAAAATTCTAATAAAATGACTAATTAATTATTTACCTGGCCTTACCTCCTTCTTCATCCTGTGTTCCACCACTCTCCTTCTCCAGCTTCTAAGAGGATGCTCCAAGTTCACGGAACTGAGGGGTGCTTTCCATGTCGCTCTTCCTCTGAGCATGATTCTTCTCTTGTCTGGAGTGTTCTGACTGCCTTTTCTGCCACACACAAAAAAGGGTGGATGTCATACAATATTTGTCTTTCTCTGTCTGACTTATCTCACTTAGCATAATGTCCTCAAGGACTATCCACGTTGCTGCAAATGACAGGATTTCCTTTTTTCGTGGGTGAATAATATTCCGTTGTATGTATATACCACTATGTATACACCACATCTTCTTTATCCATTCATGTATCAATGGACACTTAGGTTGTTTCCATCCTTGTGAATAATGCTGCAATAAACATGGGAGTGAAGATATCTCCTTGAAAACCTGTTTTCATTTCCTTTGGATATATACCCAAAACTGGGACGGCTGGATCATATAGTAGTTCTGTTTTTAAATTTTTGAGGGACCTCCATACTGTTACCCATAGTGGCTAGACCCATTTACCAGTTTATAATCCCACCAACAGTGCACAAGGGAACAAATAATTTTTTACTGTAAGTATGCAACATTTGGGACGTACTTATACTAAAAAATTATTCATTGTTTATCTGAAGTTCAGGTGTCGTTGGGCATCTTATATTTTATCTGGCAAACCTACCTGCAGGTACCATCAAGCAGAGGCTCTGGGTGAGGCAGGAGAGACCTCCTTTGGCTTGCTGTCATCTTATGGGTTTAGTCTGGGCCCACATTGTCAAAGTTGCTGATTTTTGGCTCAGATACAGATGAAAAGTCTTCCTGACCTCTGTGTGGCTATTGAGCAGGGGCTGAAGTGTGGAGTGTATGGGTTACAAATGGGGCTGGTATTTAAAACAAACCCCAGCTCTCCTGAAGCAGCAGGGAACATCCAGGAGCCGGGGGTGAGAAAGCCCAGGATTTGCTTTATCCCTGCCTCCACCCGGACTAGAATGACTCTCCCGAGGAGTTTCCATGGCTACATTGGGAGGGAGGACAGCAAGGTAAGACACAGCAGGACAGAGCAAAGGAAGGGACCAAGTGTGGCTGCAGCTCCCAACCAGCCTTCCTGGGGATGAGTGTCCATCAAAGCAGGGATGTTGACCAAGTGCACAGGCTTCTCACAGAGTCTAAGTGTCCCTTTCTCTGGGGCAGTGGGCCCCAGATGCCTTGCAAACCACACGTGCAAAGCCCAGAGGAGACACCAGCCAGGGCTCAGGCCCTGGTGGTTGTTTACATGAGGCTGCCTGGTGGAGACAAAGCTGAGAGCAGCCGGTGGGACGGGACAGGACAGGCAGACAGCAGGGGCAGGGAGGGGTTAGCAGCAAGCAGGCTGGGGTTCTCCCCAGGAAAGATGCAGGATGGGCTGCACCTGGATCGCAGCCTGAGGGAGCTAGAGAAACCGTCTGCCACCTACACTGTGACAGGAGAGAACTTTCAATGGCCTGCAAGCTTCTTCATGGACAACACTTTAGTTTAACTCCAGTGCATCACAGGATCAAGGAGGCCCTGGTCTTCAGAATCAAACAGGTACATTAGCATGTGCTCTACGCAGTCACAGCTGTTCCCCTGGGAGGAATTCCAGGCTCAGGACAACATGGGATTCTTTTCGCCCTGCTTCACGGAACAACCAGCTTCTGGTCTGATCCCAGCCTCGTGTTTTCACTGGAACTGAAGGGACTCTTCCCATCATGGATCTCCCCATTCCTCCCCCACATTCACTACATTCATCCAGGGCCTCCACTGTCCTCAGAGGACACCTGAGCCCACATCCTGACACCCACGTGACCCTCCCGTGACAGCCTTGGCCCCCTCCTGGCTCACCCAGGAGCCAGGCCCCGGAACACCATGGCGTCAGCTGTGGGAGTGTCCACAGAGCTCTCTAAAGAGGCTCCTTCTTCCTGGTCCTACAGCCTGGATGTGTTCTACTCTCTCATGAGCAGTGCCCTTCTGTGAGTCCTCCTATATTTAATTAACCTCAGATTACAGCAACAATACCTCAACACATTCATTCTAGACTTTTGAAAACATTTCAGAAGGGACCAAAGCCTCTCGGCATTTAGGCCTGCAATGCTTGTCCCAGTGATCTGGGATGTCGGAGCGATGTCCCCTCAGGCCAAGTTGTGGGCCTAAGACTGGCTATGGTCTGGGTTTCATTTTCTAAAAGACCTGAATGTTCAAGAAGACAGGGCATTCTCCGGAGCTTTCAGCTTAAAAGTGGCTCAAGAATGGGGCTGAGAAGGAGGTCTCAGCACCGCCCACCCTGCTCCCTCAGGGCATCCTGAAGGGCAGCCAGACCACAGGCTGCTCCACCTCATTGGGCTGAAGAGATGATAAAAGATGACAGTTCAGGTAGAGCTCCTGGCAGGGTGACTGGTGTGGGGAAAGTCTGATCCTTGCTGGAGTGTCCCACATCTGTAGAGGTGAAGGGACCAGCTCCTCAGGCACCCGTCCAATGCCCGCCCTCTGCGGGGGCAGGCAGGGCTTCCCTGGCATCTGCATCACTCCTAACTCTAGGGTCTTCTTCCGAAACTACCCCCTGGTGTGTGGTTGCTGCTTTCCAGGCCCCTTGAGGCAGAGGATGTGTTGGGTGGGTGCTGGAGTTGTTACTCACTGACCCAGGAGAAACTGACTAGGAACAAATAAAGACTCCAGCTTCCAGTCAACATGTATTTAAAACAGCTTCAACCAAACACATCTTGGTTTACTGGGAGATGGTGTTAATATAAAAATTATGACTGTGAGTATAAATATAAAAAACTGAATCTGTGCTTCATATATGACCCGAGCCAGAGGAACTCAGCCCTCTGCAAAGCGAGCACAGCCCCACCATGTGCCAGAGCTGGGACTCTCCTAAGCTACACGGCTGTGCCCCAACTCAAGACCAGAGGGCACATGCTGGGCCATGGACCCCACACTGCCCCAGGTCAGGAGCCAGGCCTGCAGGGACATTCAGAGAGGCAGGGCCTTCAGGAGTGCAACTATGGCAGGTGACCACTGCAGGGCCACTGGCCACCAGCCACATCTGCTTCCACCACAAAGCCTTGTCCCAGCAACCCAGCGGTACTGTCCTGGGGCTGTGCCCACTGCCGTGGCTTGTGTGTACACAGCCCTGCAGACATCCATAGGACAAACACGGAATCTGCATGAGATCCTGACCCAGCATCCAGCCTGGTCCGAGGAGCAACAGGGATACTGAAGCTGGAGGAGAAAGAGCCTCTGCCTGTGAAGTGTGGAAGGGTAACCTGAGGATGAGTGTCTCGGATAAACATGAACCAGGGAAGGGAGCAGGTGACTAATCACAGAGACCCACAAGGACGCAAGCACACCCTGCGAATGCAGAGGGAACTGAGAGACCAGCAGAGAGCGGTTGCACACAGCTTGAGGTCCACCCCAGAGAACCAAGGAGAGTTAGCCAGATTGGGAAAGACACATGAGAGGAATAGAGGGGCCCACGGGGGGAAGGAGACCCAGGCTGGTACATGTCACAAAAGGCCAGGGAGTGGTAGGACACAGCGCCACAAATGCTGCTGCCTGTGCCTCAGACTCTTATGACCCTGGGGAGAATCCTCACTCAGGAAGCCCGCGGTTCCCAGCTGTGCCCCTGAGGCCTGGCTCGCTGCAGGGTGGGGGATGGCTCCTGGGCCCGGG